TCTGAGGTGGCCCTGTTGGGCCGGTAGGCATACTGCAGGGGGTCCAGGGTGTCCGGTATACTGCTCTGAATGCGGGCCAGCACCACTCTCTCAAAACACTTCATAATGATTGGGGTGAGTGCCACTGGCCTGTAGTCGTTCAGGCAGGTGACCGGGCTCTTCTTGGGAAGGAGGACGATGGTTGTGGTCTTAAAGCAGGTGGGAACGATGCTCTGGCTGAGGGAGAGGTTGAAGATGGTGGTGAGAACATCAGCCTCCTCAACCATATGTCTTCTTCTTCTTCTGTTCCCATTAGGGGTCGCCACAGCGAATCATCTGTTTCCACCTAACTCTATCCTCGGCATCCTCTACTCTCACACCAATTAACTTCATGTCCTTTTTTAGCACACTCCTCAACCATATGTATGGCTTGACTGGTAAAAGTCATGGAATGGCAAGCTAACACTTAGATTGAGTGCACAATGATGAGTATACGGTATGTGATTTTGAGAGTTAAATCAAACATGATCAAAAATACACTGAAGTCAAAGAAAACAGCTACAGAAAAAACACAGACAAGTGAATGAATATTTATTTTTTCCCAGTTGAGTTGGGTGATTTTATTTTTATAACAGTTGACAGGATAATGAGGAGCTCTGTTTGTACACGTGTAAAAATTACAAGGCAATAAAAGTAAATAAGTTAAAGCTATGTAAAGAAAAAAGAAAGAAAGAAAATCACAAGAAAGTAAGTTTGTAGTATTGATTGAAAATATTGATTTTTCCAGGCTCTAGCACCCCAGGATAATTTGCTGATTTTCTTTAGTCTCACCATGTCCAGATGTAGTAATCATGAAGTTTCCTCATTCAGGAAGTGGGAAAATTGTTAAGAGCTGCTTACAGAAAGACTAATGTGTATCCTGTGTAGATGTGACAGTTTAAACTCAGTAAAGAATAATCACTACATTTGAGAAAAAGTGCATTTTCACATATACAGTTGCAACAAAAATAAAACCAATTTTGTGTCTTGACCAAACCAGATCAGTGACTTCACATTGCTCTATTAGGAGGTCTAACTATAAATTGGATTTAAAGATCGGCAAATTCTCAAAGTTATTTCTGAATGTAAAAACAACCAGTGATGTGATGCAAAAGCCTAAAATTAAAGACTGAGTTATTTTCACAGAATGACTATTGTGACAATCATCTGCCCCGTGCTTATGTTTTCTCACTCCATTGTTGTCTCTGTTTTCACAGATCATAAGGAGTATGATGCCTATCTGTCCTACACTAAAGTAGACCTGGACTCTTTGGGCAGGTCAGAAATCTCAGTGTTACCTAAACTAAATTGTTGTTTTTTACTTTTTTGTTCTAACAACAGTGGCTTTCAAACTCACAACTGCAGCGCCACAGTGCAAGAGGACTTGCCCAACTTGATCATGCATGGTGGATGAGTAGCAGTCAGCACTTGATGCTCTTTGCATAACCAATTCTCGGTCATTGAGGAAATGTTTTTCATTCCGGGTTGTCCTCTCCCCACACTGACATGGTCACCAAGTGATATTTTGGGACCTCATAATTTACAAAATAAGCACTGAATGTAAAGACCTTGACCTTTGAGGTTTGAACATCAAAATCTAGCCAGTTCATCCTTTAGTCTAAGTGGATATTTGTGCTAAATTTGAAAAAATTCCCTCAAGGCATTTTTGAGCTAGTACATGCACAAGAATGGGCCGATGGGCAGACAAGCCAAAAACATAGTGTCTCCAACTACAGCTATTGCTTTCATGAAGGCATAAAAGACAGCAGGCCCCTGAGAGGAAGCATGCTGCTGGAGGGCTGACTCTCATAACCTGCTGTTTTTAGGCTTTTCCAACCCTGTGGTTCATTTGTTTCACCGCTCTGCAGGAATCACTTATGAGTAACCAGGTTTTACTGTATATTTCATACAGACATTAGCCTATAATACAGTATGATTCACACCATTATAATTCATTGTGATATTCATATTGCTGGAGTATTGCTGGATAATTTTTACCAAATGTGCATCATTGTCCTCTACACGAGGCCCGTTGAATGTATTATGTGCCCTTTATGATTTTTTTTTTTTTGCCCCTGTTCCTCAGAGGGCCTGAGTCTGCCACTGATCAGAAGCACTGTAAGTGGCAGATTGTCATGGAAGGGGGTAGAATAGCGAGAGACACCATTTCCTCTCCCATTTTCACTTGATTTACAATGTGTAAAATCTTAGTTAAAGCACCTTTAAATAAGCTGCTCACTTAACAGCTGGTTGTGCAGTTTTTAAATTTAGAGCCATATTTATTATTCCTCCCCTGGCAGGACGAGCAGCGACGAGGAAACGTTCGCTTTGGAGATCCTGCCGGATGTTTTGGAGAAACATTATGGATACAAGCTGTTTATACCAGACAGAGATCTAATACCCAGCAACAGTAAGTATTGACCTATGTATCTATCTACTTTATTTGCTTCCTAGCACATACACATATCCTGTCTCCCTCTATGGCCTCTGTAGGTCCCCAAACCTAGAATTCATCACTCTGTCAGAATAAATAAGAATATGTATCTCCATCATAACTCACTTAGAAACAGACAAACACACACACACTCACATCCTTACGCCCATCACTTACAAGGTCTGCACATAGACTTACATTCATTTCCAGGAGACTTACCCTAACCTTAACTAGAACCACTACTTGCCCAACCTTAACCCTTAGCCTAACCTTAACCAAAGCTAACATTTGCTCTAACCTGTCATTTTTATAAAATTCAATGAATTAGTTGTGGAGCCCAGCCTCCATTCCCCACAAATGACCTGCAATTCAGTGTACTTCTGGTGTTCCATCCCCACAGAAGTATATACAGTATAAACAAGGCCACACACACACACACACACACACAGGCAATTTAGTCATTGTACAGGAGGGTGTTCATATACACAGCAAAGGATAAATGACAGCCAGCAGCACGGGCTCCAGCATAGAGTGGCATTCCCAGAAAATGTGTCTTAATGACAAGTATTCCTCTATTTGTGGTTCTGATGGAAATGTCTTGACAGCTATTGCATAGATTGGCATAAAATTAGGTATTTGGTACATTATGTCCCCCTCAGAATGAATGGCTGTGATTCCAATGTATTAGTCAAGGGGCTCAGCCTCCAGTCCCCAGAAGTGACTTCTGGTGCCCGTAAAGCAGTGTTCCATCCCGAAAACGTATATATAAACAATGCCACACAGACTCACACACACACACACACACATATCGTTGTTAGGCTCATCTGTGGCCATGCTAGCTGCCGGACAGTTTAGATTAGAATCTAGTGGGGTTCATCTGTTTCAGATGTTCATCACACAAACACACTCTCACATTTAAAATTTGCCCAAACACAGAGGCACATTTTTGTGTGTGCATTAAATATGTACATACAGTCTATATCCACACCTGAACCCCCTTCCTAGTGTATTTTACAATACAGCAGATCATTAAAGCTGCAATAATCTATATTTCTGTAATAACAAGGGATCACATGACTATATACAATTATCACCTAACTTTGCGGTTCTTCTCAGCATTTTGTTAGCTAATTTCTGGCTTGTAGATACAACACAGTGAAAATGCCACATCCCTGTATGTTTTCAAAAATTATGAGACACAACTATGGAAACACAGTAAAGCCTAACCTAAGCTAATAAATCTAGATTCAGATGATCTGGAGTGCAGCAGTGGCACAGATTGTTTCTAATCATCAGCATCTGAGATACAGTATAAACAGCTAATGTTGATTTTCATCTGAACTTTACAGATACCAGCATTTGTTGATATGGACAAAGCAGTCTGCATTTACTCTGATAGTCCTTTATTATTTATTAGGTAAGGTCACTAAGTACTTCACTATGCCTGCTCAATGCTTTAAAAGCATAGCGGTCCCTGGTTAAATCAGCTGAACTATCAAACTAATGCAAGAAATAAAATACTGAGCCATTGTATTAACATTTTGTTACCAAAATCACATTTCACTGTGTCCTGGAAACCATCTAAAAAAGAATGTAGTTACTGTATTAAAATAACTATAATGTGGGTGGAAAGTAAGCAATTCATTTGTGAGTTCTGCATTATTTAACACCTTCTCCTAAATTGCATGCATACATTTACCGGAATATGGATCATAATGAATCTGCATGCTCTACACAGTCTGTCCTTAGTCAGAACTATGCCACCACATTCTAAACACCACATCCTCTTTGTGGCCTGAAAACACGCTAAAAATAAGCACACACCGTGTGTATCTATACACAGAACTTTGTCAAAGCTGCACCTGGCTAAAGGCTACACAGAGTAAAAGCAGCCTGAGTGAATGAATCAGAGAGAGAGGTGCCTTTTCCCTGCTTGCTGATGTCACTGACAGAGCAACACATCAGTGCAGCCTAAAATACACAATTACTCACTCCATTAGCTCTCTAAAATGAACAAGAGAGCGAGAAATAAATAACAACAACAACAGAAAGAGGTGGGCATGGGGTCACTGCTTTATGCTTTTCCATTAATCGATTTACATAATCCTCCAAATGAGAGGATGGGAAAAGGAGGTGGAGGGTGAGAGAGAGTAGGGGAGGTTAAGTGTGAGGAGAGACGCCAGAAGAGGAAAAGCAAACCAGACAAGGGAAAAAAGGGAACTGAGTTTTGGGACGTTTTATGCTATTTGTGCTTCTCAAATTGAGCATGAAATTGCAATGTGTTGTTGGAAAGTCTCTGTCATTAATTTAGTTAGCAATTGAAGAGATGGTGAAGGAAAGAGACAGCCAGAGGGAGGGAATAGGTTGTTCTCCCAGCACACAGTTTTCAGACATCTTCAATAACTAAGAATTTGAGAAATAATGAGCAATTTCAGTGACACGTTGCAAAAACCACTGAAACTGTAACAAACAAATAATTGGAACTAGGACCTTTCTGAAAGATCCATTTACACTGAGCTGAGCAACAGCACCGCTGTGAGGATGAGCAGAAGCATTTGAATTGGCAGTGGACTCGTATACAGTAGCTCCACCTCAAAGCCACTCGCCTGTCACGTCTCATCACCTGTCCGTTCCCCTCCTCAAGCTCACATCTTAGTTATAAGTAAAAGCTGAAGGTGGTGTATCAGCAATAGTCTGATCCCCATTTAAGAGCTGATTTCACTGTGCTGTGTCAGAGCTAAAAGTGTTGCACAAGCATTTCTGTCACTCTTTTATATACTCCTGTCAGTCATTCCAGTCATGTATGAACAAAATGACTGGAAGGAAAGAATGCAGTCTCCCAGAAGAGGGCAGATAAAACAGCAGGTTTGCCTCACATACTGTAGTGTTAAATTAAATTTCCCATGCTTCTTTTTTTGCTTTAAATAAAAAGCTCCATATCACATATTTACTTGTCATTTTGGATGTAGATTTAGTTTTTTTTTATGTATATATGTATTTTTATTAGATATATTTATTGCTTTTAGTGCATTTTCCTACATTTTGTAAAGTGGTCTTACAGAAGGTTATAAAGGACTTTTTGGACTCAACAAATGTTGCAGTAAATACTGATAATTATTCTAATGTTTTCAGACATAGAGTCTGTTTCTTTTATCAAACTGAAAGGAAAGATTGATACACATCTGTGTGTTAAAGCTACAGAGCTAAAGTCTAGATGTGTTTTGGCTAGCCTAGGGTAAAAGCTGGAGGCAGGAGGAGCCAGCTAATGTGGCTCTGCCCAAAGTTTTAAAATATTTAACCAGCAGCAGCACTTCTGCTCTCTGATTTACATGATGTAGCAAACTTGGCAACTTTGGACCACAGACTGTATGTAAAGATGAATGACGTGATAGTTCCCAGAAGTGACACCACCATGAGTTGATCGCCCCCCAGTGCTGGTACCAGTATAGGTCATAAGCCCAGCCCCCACTAAGTTAGCAGAGGGAACATGAGGCAAACTAAAAACTCAAAAGAACAAATCAAATAAAAATTTTCCCAAAGATGATTTTTTTCATTTTAGATAGATATCATGCTGACATTTATACAAGTGATCCTTTTTTCAGATGTTTTTTTTTTTAGGAAGTTATTTGATGCTATGAAAAGGGGTGTATTTCTGATGAAATAATGAGCAATTTCAGTGACACGTTGCAAAAACCACTGAAACTGACCACTTTGACCACTTTGACTGGCAGCCTGATACCATGGCTTCCTATCTGGTCGCTATTGCACAGAATTCGGTTGCAAAATGGATCACAAAAGCAAAATAGCCACCCCCATGCTCAGGATATTTTGGCTTCATTTTTGCATAGTGGCAGAAAGTGGAGACCTGTTTGTTTTGCATACATTCGATAGTTTATGCTAAACAGGGCTAACCACATTGTGAATCCAGCTCCATGCTTAACACACATACATGAAGAAGATATTTATCTTTTCATCTTAAGCAAGTATGCATATTGTCATAAATGTTCAGTGATAACAGTGATAATATCAACAGAAGCTAATGTTATGTTTCTTTATATGGCAACCCTGTTTTATCTTGCCCAGTATTTTTACAGCAATTTAGAAAAACATACAAAACTGTGTCATTCAAATCTAATCATTTATGTATTTTTCTTTTAAAATTAGTTTAAGTAACAATGACAAAAGTAGAGAAAATTGCATTACTGACAATAATGAGAACCATCACTTTTCCATAAATTCAGGTTGGAGGCTTAGGGTTATTTTGTAATATTTGTATCTAACCAATAAATTACAAGGTACCAACTATATTTTGTTCTTCCCTACCTTCTGAATGACACCCATTTCTAATTTTCTTCTTACTTCTTGTCCCTTTCACTTCGTCTCCCTCTCTCCTAGCCTACATTGAGGACTTGGCTCGTAGCGTGGAGCAGAGCAGACGTCTGATCATCGTTTTGACTCCAGAGTTTGTCGCCAAAAGAGGCTGGAGCATCTTCCAGATAGAGACACGCCTCCACTCTATGCTGGTTACCGGGGAGATTAAGGTATGAATCAAAGTAAACAGGAAATCAAGGTAAATGGTAGACAGATGTGGGTCAGCAGCTTTTCTTGCTTGATAAAAGTATTACATGTTCAAGGAAGCTGTGAAGTACTTTGCACAATAAGAAGAATTGCTCTACTTTGAAATTGTCATATTTCTTCCTTCTCAAACACCTCTGCTTCTGTATTTCTATGTGCAAAGGTGATCATGATAGAGTGTGCAGACCTGAAGAATGTCATCAACTACCAAGAGGTGGAGGCACTTAAACATACGATCAAGGTATAAAGAGAAAGTAGGGGATCTGAAGGGAGACACCAGCAGACTAAAGCAGTTAGATAAAAAAAATCTTTTCCAATCTGTCCTCAGCTTTTATCCATCATCAAGTGGCGGGGCCCTAAGAGCAATGAGCTGTCATCTAAGTTTTGGAAACAGGTGGTCTACGAGATGCCTGCTAAACGCAGAGAGACATTATCCAGACGCCAGGTAACTAATGTCACACCGGCAAAGTTTCTATGAGCACAACCACAAATTGTACGCTAGCTACTAAAAGAATTACTATAGTATGAAAATGCAAGGGCAAATTTTATTCATTAAACTATAAAACTGTGGCCATATAACATACATGCCAGACAGTACATAGTGTACAGTTACAGGTGACAAGGCAGCCAACTTTATCTCCATTGCGTGACAAGGAAAAAATTTAGTCTGCACATTTACTTATACCCAAGAAACAGGGGCTTTTGAAAGGCTTGCTAAACATAGGTAATGCATTAAAACTGGAGTCACAGTGGGGGGAAATGTGTGCATGTTTACCATGTGTTAATGCATCAGGTGGTGTATGTCCTGATTAAAAGAGATGTTCTCCTGCCGCTGTGTGAAGCAGCACATAGCATCTTAATGTGTGCCTTCACTACTGATGTCCCAGATCTGGGACGATGACAATGTGAGTATTTTTACTCACTGCAAAAGTATTTGGGGTGTTCATATAATGCACTGGAGGGGTTTTTTTCTGCTTAAAACCACCCATTATGTGATTTCTAACAGTGAAAGAATTACAACTGAACCATGTTAATATGGTTTATGTACAGATAAACTTTGGAACATCAAAGTTTAGTTCATCTGAAAGCAGCACTATTCACATTTATATAGTACAAAAACCCCACATAAAACAGCTTTAAATTTCAGGGCCTTGTGAGTTCAAAGTAATACACATTATTTGTGCTTCAATATATGGCACAATGAAGCCAATGAACACGCTTCCTAACTTCTTGAAAAATTGCACAAGAATGCTGAAGGATTCTGTTGATCCATCATGCTTAGCAACATACAGTGAAGGGCAGCCAGGTGTGTTTTCACTAGCAAAACCTCCAGTGTTATAGATGTCATGTTATGGTCTGCATAATTTCCTGTGGCTTTTGATTATTTGTCCTAGTTTACATCGATAATCTACAGGTTTGGCCTAAATGGGCCAAACACATAAATGCCAAAAATGTACCCAGAGAAAAATGCAAGCTATGGCTGTGATATCACCCTTTTATATTTTTTAAACCACTAGCTTTAGTCACTAAAACTGGGATTAGGGTTACAGTAATATTGTTATCTGATGTATTTCAGTACTTTTCCTATCAGTATATTATATCACAATTGTGACTAAATTCTTCTTGACTGCTCAAATGTGGAAAAATCTGCACAATGATAACTTTGTAGTGGTGTTTCTGTGGTAACAGGTGATGGACTCTGGTGAACAGGGGCTCTTTGGTGACCTACAGACCACTGTCTCCACCATTGCCATGACGACCACCTCTGCCTCCCTGGCCCCCCCTAATGAAAATCGCCATGGACACCATCAGGTCTGCTGTTTTACTTCAGATTAATGTTGCTGCTTATACTGTAGGTTTGGTCTTTCTGAAACCGGTGGTGTCATATTGTAATGACAGGCCCCAGAGGTGTATTTTTAATAATACCTTCTCTGGTAAAGGTTAATAGAAAGCATCTTTTTTTTTTTACCACAGGTTGCTTTGGCGACAGAGATCCCCGACTACAACCAGATGACCTTGCCGCTGGGAGGTGGTCACACAGCTACCGCAGCCCAAATGAGGCATTTCTGTCGCAGTTATGAGTTCCAGCTACCCCTGCCGCCTTCATCTTTGTCACCTCCCCTCCGACCTCCTTCCACCATGCAGTTCTCCAGTCTGGGCCCCGGGGGCCGCCACGTCTATTGCAACATCCCTATGACCCTGCTGAATGGACAGGTGGGCGAAAGGACAATGCCCCTTAGAGTATATTTGTTTCTAGCATCCAACATCTCCATAATGTATCCTTTTTGTGTTTTCTGTGTGCATGTATTCAGAGGTTAAATACATTAAAATAAAACCCTCTTTTCTCCCCAGGGGTTCAGAGCAGTTCACTGGGGAACAAGAGGTCTGTTTGAATAAAAGGAAATATAGAAAGAAAATGGTATCTTCATATTAATCCAGCCACAAATATTTATTTATTCTAACAGACTGGGAAATATTTGTATATTTGTCATATACAGTAGCAGTGTGGTTGTCATACAAGAGGTGCACTATTGGCATGCAGTAGTTCTCTTTAAAATGTATAAGGTAGCACCTTTTTTTTTTTTTTTTGGCTTGTATGTTGTGGTGTGTGGGATGTTGCTGCTAATCACTGTTGTGCTGTGTGTTTCCCAGGTATCTCAGAGCAGTACGCTTGGGAAGAAACCAGAACTCCACCTGAACAGCACCTTCGTACCACTCACCAGCAGAGAACTAAGCTCTGACATCTGGTAGAAAGACTTCTCAGCTGGTACTGGATTGCAGGCCAGTTTACAGACTGCTTTTTCACTAAATTGGACATGGAGTAGATTGGTTGGTTGACTGGTTTTCATTGGATTTTTGAAATGTGTACAGAACTGATGTGAGGAGAGACTGGTTGTGGACTACTTGCTGACTTAGTCTGGGCCTTTTCATCCCACACTTTGAACAAAAGACTTAAAAGACAAATTAAAATTCACACTGGTTGGGTGTACTAGCAGCAGACAGATGCCTTTGGATTGCTTTTGGAAGTGTCAACTGGTTTCAGACTGACATAAACTGGTATGTAAGATGTGTAGCCGTGAGCAATGGAAATGAATGCTATCATACAACATGAATGGTCATATGAACCTGACTTATGCAGAGAGTTTATAGACATGTATGGACATGTGGATATAATGAACTGCTATCCACAGATAACAGAACATACTGTTTGTTGGACAAGCTACCACGTTGGACCTTGGAGCACAAAAAATGCAAAAATCTTGTTATCACAGTATGCTCACACACCAGCTCTGAAAACCAGTTAATTTGTCAGTTACTTAACTACTCTGAAATGTCAGTCTACTGACAAACAAGAAGTGAATGCCACTCAAACTTCTAGATGAGTTACCTGAATATTGATCTACCTGTTGACTTGGTGGCTTGTCAGTAAACGTGGCAGACTTCAAACAATGGTTTTGGAAAACCAGTCCACCTTAAAACAACAAGTCAACCTCTTAAAATGCCACTCCTAGCTGGCTAGCTACTGTAGCTAGCTAGCTGGCTACCTGGTTTGGCTCTTGGACATAAAAGAAATTAATTAGTTAGCTAGAGTCACTGGAAGCTAGCTAGTTGTTTAAATTAAACTAGTGGACTAAATAACATTTCTTCTTGAGCTAAGAAGGTGAAAGCCAGCCAGCTCAACACCTTGTAACCCAGTAAACAGCAACTAGTCAACCCATCAAGAGGCAATCTGGCCAAGAGATGAGCGTCGACTTTTACCACTAAGCTAAACATATAAAAGACTTGGCTTTTTCTATTTGCATGACCACCTGTTTAGATAAAAATAAAAAATATTAAAATAAACATAGATAAGAGTAAATGGCACAATCATTTCTCACAGCCTCTTGAATATAGAGGACAATAAATATCTAATATTTGATACAGCATATTTGTTTTCTGTCCGGTCATGAAGTAATGATAAGAACTGATAAACAAAAACATTTTTATTATTTATTTTGTTTTGTTGTATTTAAGATTTTTATCCTTTTAGAAGCTTGGTGAGAATTTCTACCAGACTTTGTTTTTAATGTTTGTTTGCTACAGTAATCTCTGTACAGCTTCCATAGCATATGCATAGATGTGAGTAATTTGTCAATGGATGGATGGATGTTTCTCATGGCAGTACAACCCTGCTAATGGACGGATGTTTTGGACCCATCAAACTGGAATTGACACCACTACCAGTCAGCCAAAGGGCACTTCACTGCATAAAAAGCCGAATTTGGAGCCGAAACAGACCACATTCTTCTTTGTGAGCTTTAAGGAACCAAGATTATTACCATAATATTTAAGCAAAGTGAATAATGTTTTGAATTTACACAAAGGTACTGTCATTGTTTTATTAGAACCAATGAATTCTGGATATCTGAGATTGTTTGATACAATAATTACTTATTTGAGTGGTTATATCGATGGCAATATACTATATAGTGGTTGTCTTTTGATTTCTGCTCATTTCTTTGACTATTCTTTGGATATATTGGTTGAAATAATTTAACTGAGGAAATAAAATTCTGAGTTGTTTTATACATTTTGTATAACTGTTGTCTGACAAATCCAGCTGTCAGTTCTTTTACTTCTTCCTTACTTCTTCCTTGTCTGTATTCATTTACATTTTTTTGTTCAACTACATTTTCTGCAAGCTTTTTTTTTCTTCCAACTGTCATTTTTCTCATCTTCCTCTGCTCACTTCCTCCTCTTCAACCATGATTTGTATTTTCTAGTAAGACTAAAACCAGTTTCACACTCTGCTGGGTTAAACTGAGCTTGAATAGGATTTGAGCAATGTTGAGCCAGGAACCAAGACATTTTACAGTTGAGGCATTAGGGGGAACAAGCTTGCAATAAGTAAAATCAGCACCCATTAGTTACTACATCATTATTCTCTCACAGTGGACAGAAAATCTCATCAAAAGAGCCCCGCATACAATTCAGGAGATGACTGTTTTCTTATTGCTAATTTCAGTATTACATTCAGTGCCAGATTATTATAGTACAAATTTAGATGGCAGCCTAAACCATTTTGATTGTTTATTCAATGTGCACAGAAAGTGTTAATGCAAAATTCTGCAAAATCTTAATTGCATCATTGTCATTAATTGAGCCAAAATGTTGCCGAATTTTTTGGCAGGGTAAATGTTATTTTTCTGAAATATTAAAATTGTTTTTAAGTGGACTTAATTTATTGTAAACCATAAAAAGTTGTGGTCTTACATAGCACCAGAGGAGGTTTCATGGCACCAAAAGTGGTGAGGCGAAATTTGAGCTATCCATTAGCGTTATCAGCCATGTAATTGGAACATTCTCCACATATGGCCTGTTTGATTTTTATTTTAAATCTGCCTCCTATCTTTCATCCACAGACATTTTCTCTCATTTCTTCACCCATTTGACCCATTGCCCTTTTCTTTTTCTGTTGCACTCCTGTTTTCTTTCTTTTCCTACCATTCACTCCCAAACCACAATGACATTTGCTCAAAAAATAGTTTTTCCTTACTTGAATGTTACTATGTACAGCAGATGGTCATATCTCACACAGGCTGGTCGTCCCCTAACTGTAGGCTTGGTGGTCTGAACCCCAGATTCTCCTATGCTACCTGGTGATATCACCTGTGTTTGAATGTGTGAGTATTTGTGTGTGCAAACTGGCGAATGGGAAATACTGTGAAGCACTTTGAGTGCACTCAAATACGTAGAAAAGGGCTATGTAAGTATAATTTTTCTATGAACACAATTGTAAGGTGTGATGGCAAGACTGAGAATCGTCAAGACTTGTTTCTACAGTTCATATGTTTTCTAGAAGTGTTGGGCCAAAAATGTGAAAAGTGGTGTGTCAAATGAAAAACTCCCAAGCCTTTTGTCCCACAAACTACAGAGGCTAAAAGTCCCCATAACATGCTAATTTCCTGCCATTTAGTGTTTAATCCTCTAGATTAGTGTTGCACCCATCATAATTTCAAATAGGTGGTAATTATCTCAGAAAAGTACAACCTGAGAGCCTCCTCCTGAAAACGAGAGGATAGTTCGTGAACGTGCACAGCTCCTGCTGCCAATATTGTGTCAAAATCTGTTTCCCCATCGAGATGGTTTCCCTAACCTGAATCCTAACATTATCCTAACCAAAACCACTGAGGGGGGTGCTACATGAAACCATGTTTTGAAAAGATCACATCTTGATGGGGGAACACTTTTCGACACAAGATCAGTCAGGAAGCCATGACAACAATATACAAAAACCATTGACAAATAGGCTACATTTCTACCTGACACATTTGCACCAGAATATGAAAGTGGACAGCAGGATGAACTGCAATTAATTTGAATTTCTTCTCCACAGATAGGTAAACAATGGTACATGTACTGATGAAAAGAGATGTGTAAGGCGTTAAATCCTTAGAAAAAAAATCTCACAAGTGAGAGTTTCTGAGGCTTGTGATAAACTGAGTTGCTTCTGCATAGAAGTACTAGAACATACATACACCTCATTTTTTGAGGAACTGTGTACTGCGTAGCCTGCCTCATAACACCCTTTATCACACTTAAAAAGTTACATGATAATTTAGCATCTTTCCAGTAAATTAAAAGCATTAAGGCAACAGACTCAATCAGCAAACCATGCACTGTATGTTGCAAAAACATTTCCACCAGTGGAAAAATTGTGTTTCTGCTTTGACTGCTTACCTCTGAACATAGAATTTATGGAGATGAAACCTGTCATTACCACAGTTCAAAACTTTACAGCAGCAGGTATGACACATTTGATGAAATAGTGAACATTTCCACATACTTTAGTAAAATCTACTTGTGGCTGATAGATTTCTTTTCTGCTGAATTTTTAAAGCAATTAGCAGTTTCAGTACTACACACAATAGCAATCATACAGGTTGGAATCATCACTTGATCAGACAGAATCAATTTAGGCAATCTGGTGTCTGTAAAATACCTAGTGAGCACTCAGAGTATCCCACAGTGTATATTTTCAACAGACAAAAAATACACTGTACAATAATAAAAAGAGTGTGCCACTGCTGTACTTTGTGCTGTACTCCCCTCAGACAATATTTTACACACTGTGCAAGTAAACGCTGCACAAAGGTAATGTTGCACTTTTGCAATTAAAAATAACATATGGGAGGTTTTGTTTATAGCGAAACACAGACAGAATAAGAAAATGATACAAAGAAATAGTGGTTTTGCATTGTGGTTGCTCATATGTCTGCGTACTCTTACACCTGGGTTCATGTCCTGAAACTGCATTTGCTATTGAGTAGACTGTGTCTAGAAGTGGGTGTTTATGGGAGCCTCATGCTTTCTTTCAGTTGTGGCTGTAGAGATGTAACAATATGGAGTCAAAAGCCAAGACGCATTCGGCTGTATAGCCGTCCTTTTCTTTCATGCTGTTATAGCTGATGATGGGACTGCTTGACTTATCTACAGTATAAATGGATCACACTGTCTTTTCGGGCTGTTTCAGATACATAAGGAAATACTGGTACAAAGTTGGCTGGGAACCTGAAAATAAAAGACAGGCTCCATCAACGTGCTTCTGATTCTTGCCACCTTGAAAAACAGTGGAGGAAAATATTGTGGTTTCAGACTCACTTTTGTCTTTTCCCAGTACTAAACCAAAGTTACCAGCTTGTCACAATCTTAACCAAATGCTGCCTAAACAAAACGGTAACAAGAGTTTAAAGCAATGCTAGCAGCTGTGTAAGGCTGTACTTAAGCACAGCAGTGCTTTGAGCTCACATCAGCATGCTAAACTTAGTAATAGGCTGATAAGCAAATACACAGTAAGTGTGCTGGCGTTCTAACAGAGATATGCTGGCTGGGAACAAAAGATGATACAATCACATAAAAAGCACCTGATACACTGAAGATAGCATCAAAGCTAGATTGCTTTGTTTAAGGTAGGCGTCACATGCTTTAGATAGTTGGCCATCCAGTAAGTAACTACTCATCAGCTACAAATGACTGAAGTTGGGTGTGCAGAATTAATATGAATTTTTAAGGCTATTACTTATTTCTGTTTATTATGAGGTAATATAAGAAGGCTCCCTGTTTTTCATTTGCTCCTGCTTGCTGTGGTGGTCTGCTGCTGCTTCTGTTTACACAAATCGACACTTCCTTTATTTGTTTTTTTAACCAATAAAAGTCCTCTGCCTGTTCAGAGACCCTTCTCCTTGTTGGAATGCTTTTGCTCTGAAACATCTACTAGAAATGTCTAATTTCCTTCAGGTATGAAACACTGGTGTGCTGATTAAATTAAACTTGACACTACAGGCACTAGTAATGCTGTGTTTTTATCCTTGATGAACTTCATTTAACTATTAGATCTTTAGTTGAGAATTTTTGGTAGCTATATGAAATAAAATTCAATGAATGGCCTTTTGAAGCATTTGTAAATCTACAATATGAAAGCATGCTAACTTATTTTGCCTGTAGTAACAGTGAGAAATAGCTAATTTTGCAAAAGAGTTTCAAAAGCAGAGAGAGAACAAGTCTTGTCATAGTTTCTGGAAAAGGCAGTGGTGTTGCAATAACGACCTAGAGTAATTCAGAATGCATGTTGACTCATGTTAACTACGGTCCCTTTTAGAACACATTCAGCCTTTAGTGTAAAACATCCATACATATACTGTAGACTGGCAGGTGTGGTCATGTTTTTTCCACAGTGTCTGCTCAGAAGCAGGCCTGTTGTGCTTCTCACGCTACCACAAACCACAATGCAGACAGTTGCACAGCTACTTTACATCCTTATTTTGTCTTGCTGTCTGTCTAATAGCCTTCTGTAGCTGAAAAGGCTTTCAAACATTCTCTGGCTTTTGAAAATGCAGGAGAGCTCTGTTTCTAAATGGTAAGTCTGGATTTTAATTCAGTTTTTTTCCAATTTTAAATGAAGAGTAGAGACTACCGCAGAGACAAAGGCATGGTTCTTAAATGTGAAAGCTTTTATAACAGATCTTGTCTGGATGGATCAGTCAGTTATTGTAATAGACACTGCACTCTTCACTAACACTGCAGTAAATGTAGGAGTAAATAGAGTAGCAGCGTATACACATATCATTTATGACTGTATGGCTATAATGTGTCATCGAGCATTCAACTAGGAAAATACATATCATTTTGGAGCTGTGTATGCAATAATACCTATGTTTTTCCTGGTTTCCACTGCAGAGAGGAGCACACCAGTAATACTGATGAATTCTTTTAGCTAATTTCCAGACAGTAAAATATCTGAATTGATGAAATGCAAACTGTGGAAATCAGAGGGAGCTTTGTCTTTATAAAATTAGTTTTTTTCAGTTTCTTCTTCTATGCTGAATTTGTACAATTATTTGACATTAATATATTACTACCGCAGATAAATGCTTCAGAATTTCTACTAAACACAGTATATGTCATAAAACCACCTAAGAGATCCCCGGTTGTACAGTCACTAAAACCTAAGGTTTTGCTAAGCTATAGTTGTGCAGTAGTGCAGCTGAACACACGAGAGCTCTCAGATAACAAAAACTGTTTTGTATGAGTTTCTTTTCCTCTGCTGAATCTGTGCAATTATTTTTCATTAAGATATTATTAACACAGTTGCTGAATTGTTGTTCTTTCATTTCTTATTGCTGTCTTAAGTGTTTATGACTATGTGCAGGCACAGTGTGAAAGAAAATGGAACTTTCATGTGCATGGCATCTGTGTGCAAATGCATGGACTTTTTTATGTTTTCAGCTGAATTGATCTAATATATTGATATTTCTACTGATAAAATTATTCCACCTTAATGTTATTTATATTCTCCGGAGGGCAGGGGCTGAAATGGCACTCCATAGTAAAAAAAAAAAAAAAAACATTGTTTCCATCATTAATAGGAGTATATTTACAGTCAGACTTATAGAGTGCTGTAGGAATGACGTACAGGCCAAACCAGATGTTAGCATCACCCTGGTTCCCTCGACAACAAGCCAATGAGATTTTACCATAGTCTTTGGATTATTGCACAAAATAAACTCTGTGACAAACAACAGTTTATAACACTTAAATGGTTTCTTCAGCAAGATAATCTTTACAAGTCCACACCATTTTTAGAATTTTTGAAACCCAAATATGATCACTAGAAGTAAAAGCTATTGTTAGGCTACAAACAAATTAGACTACGGTCCAATGACTTCAATGTCACCACCACGGTTTCCAACTTGTAATTTGATTTCTAATGCTTTTCACGTCTACAAAATCCCTTCCTCTTACTGTTAGCTGATCTAGATAGTCATGACAGCTGGGTCAGATCATTAGAATTAGTTTGCAAGTGCTCAAGTATAAATACAATGAGGTTGTAAAGATAGACTAGTGAGTAGATTAGCCATGTTAAATTATGTTGTTTAATATCCCACACAGCGTCTTTAGTCTCATTTAGCCACTTGATAGCAGAAACTATTTTAAAGACACATAAAAGCATAAAAATCTTTAGTGGGGTATTTATGTATTTTATGTCACAGAACAAAATCATATTGACTCTGGGACGAGGAAACAGGAAGTGTATAGTCGGCTGCTGTCAGAAGAGTCAGATTAGATTTCATGTCTTTTTTAACAACTCACTTCCCTGCACATGGCCAGTCAGTGTCAGTTGAGTTTTGATGAATATTTATGGAGAAGCTTCTGACCGTGCTAACTAGAAGGAACTTGCTGTAACAAAGCAGCGCTTCAGGGAACTGTGCAATTTGGTCACCACACAATTTACATTATTCTTGTATGCATGTGGCTCACATTTCAGTTAAATCTGGACATGCATATCAGTTTAAAACCTCAGTGGTGTTCACACATTAAGTCGGACACATGCCATTTACAAACATGAATGTGAACCATTATAGAGAATCAAGGCCTGTAATGTAAACATAGACTTTGTTACATGGTGGAGATGTCCCAACATGCCTGAGTCAAAGAGAAATGTTTTGAATAGACAAACTAAATGCAGCAGTCCCACATGATGTAAATCACTAATTTACCTGTAAACCATTTTATAGTATTGTGATGACTATGCCAGCCAGCGGGAGGGTTAGTGACAGCGGCAAGCATTATGCGAATGTGTAAATAGTTAGCGTAATATTGTGGGATAATCCTGAGTCATTGTGTTTTACGGTTCTTGTTATTGTTGTATTTTGAGGGGTTAAAAATGACTGTTGGGTTCATGCTGCGTGTGTTGGGTTGCATCGAGCATTCGGTGCTCGAACCTGTTGACTGCTGTTCGATTGGAAGTGTTTCGCTGTATTATGCGAGAACAGTGAATTACGCCACTGAAGAGCATTTCAGGGTGAGGGTGCACACTGTGCCAGTGACATAAGGGGAAGCTGTGATCCTCGAGGGATTGTTAAAGCTGTGCGGTGCACGGAGCCCGGTCGTAACAGTGTTAGTTTTACGTAGGTGCTAGCAGCCCGCTAGCTAGTTAGCTGCACAGTTAGGATTCGCTCCTCTCCTCCGCGCCGGAGGTCACTACAATTGGTGTCAGAAGTGGGATTTAACGTCGTTCAGTCGAACGCCACTATGGAGAGGAGCCTAGCTGAGATAGAGAGAGAGGTTTTTGAGAATACTCGCCACCTTGAGCGCT